ATGCAGGCCTAATTTTTTTCAGGTCTGATTTTCGCTATTGCATAAACAGCGCTCTCTACTGCGAGGATCGTGCAACATACGTAAACCACTATTGTGATGGAGCTTCCTAATAAAAGAATGTTAATCATCATCATGATGACAATAGCTGTCTGAGAACTGGTGATTTTTTTATATTTTGTTGACAGAGATATGTTCAAATCACAAATTTAAAATGTCTGATTTTTGCACTTTTCTTTGCAAGCAAAAAAATGTTAAGCTCAGCACTTTTTGTCTTAATTGTAGATTTTGAAAGATTTTTTCTTGATGGGAAGAGGAGAGCTGTTCTCAGCATTTATAGAACATGCCAGAGGTTTACTTAAACTTCCTCCATCAGACAACACCTCTCATGGTAGGACACAACTCAAGATTTCTCTGATACCTCCACTAGATGTGATTGCCTCATTTTTTTCCAGAAAGGCAAAGTAACATTGTTTGATTTCTGCTTTGATCTTTGCTTCAGATGCCAACGCGGCATTTTTGCAAGTTCTTAACAAGGTGTGTTGCTTTAGAGTTAAGCATTACTAACTGAGAGAGAGAGAATTAAGGAGGTACAATAAGTGTTGTGTAGAACTCTGAAAACTACATTTTGTTGACCAATTGCTTAATAGGTAGATCTCTGTATAACAACAAGATACTTTCTTTCGTGCTCTTGAAAATAATTTTTGTCCTGTCCTAACGGCATGTACGAGGGGCGGTGGCCTTATGGTTAGTGCCCTCAACTCTGCATTGAGTGGTCTGGGTTTGATCCCTGGCCAGTGACATTGTGTTGTGTTCTTGGACAAAACACTTTACTCTCACAGTGCATCTTTTCACCCAGGTGTTCAAATGGGTACTAGCAAATTTAATGCTGGAGAGTAACCCTGCGATGGACTAGCCACTCATCCAGGGGGGAAGAAGAAATACTTCTAGTTGCTTCATGCTACAGAAACCAGAGTCTAGTGCCAGCTTGATGGGCCACTTGGCTCATAAACAGGCTTTACTTTTACCGTAATGGCATGCGACACCTTTTTGTAATTTTATATTTTTTAAGAAATATCGCTTTTTTGAAGTGATCCCTTTTTCTTTCTGTGTATGAGATTTTCAAGCTTCTTCCCATATGTCTTTGTATGCTCTGGATGTTTGCTCTATCTATTTATACCTGCCAAGGGGGGTTGGGCAAAACTTGTAGTGCGATGGACTCCCAATCACCAGGAGTTCTATTATTTAAGAAAAGTCATTTTTTGTGTATTGTTTACATTACATGAAATTCATATAAAAAGGTCATTTTTCAGTTTCTTGCAGATGACGACGAGGCTGCTTCTATGTTCACTGTGGTAATTGATAAAGAAAATACTCAAATTGGGAAAAAGAAACAAACTGCTTCAACAGGTAGCCATATGTCTTACATTTAAGAGTTAAATATGGGTGTTTATGATGAGTTTAAAATTCATACCGTTTTGATGCTACTCATTTATTAAATAAATTGTCAGGATCAGTCTACATGTTGATCTTAGCACTGTGCAGGACACTGGTCAACTAATTATGAACTTAACATAGTATACGACCTGGCTTTAACGAGGTCTCATTCTGCTGCTCACTTGATAGAATAATCAACCATGAAATGAGTTTTTTCTTGCCCTTCCCACTTTTTCACTTATTATCCCTGCTCGTGCACTGAGTACTTGGAAAAGGCTCTAAAATGTGATAGTCTGAGGAGTAAATCCTCTTGAGGAGTCCAAATAAATTTGGTTCTCCCATACAAATATGAAAAAAGGTTTTCTGTATTGTTTCTCTGTTTGATTTTTGCAGATCAGGCAGGTGTGGTTATATCTGGTTGGGACTGTGTCAAACTACAGTATGATGTTCAGTGGCCATTGCACATTCTGTTCCAACCCACTGTACTTGAAAAGTAAGTCTCATCACAAAAGGTACAAAAGGCATGATCATCATTGTAATTGTTGTATATTTGAATTTTTCAAAAATGGATGTATGGGTAGAGTTTTTTCAAGGTTGCCACTTGGTAACCTGAGATCACAAGATGGCCACCAAAATGTAGTGTAGTCACCAGAAAACAAAATCTGGTTGGCAATCATTTATGGAATTCATGCAACATATCAAGGCAGGAAAGAGGTCTAATTCATATTAGGAGAAAATGATAGAGCGTCAATGGTATTTTAGGAAGATCTTCATAAAACGTAAGACCTTAAAACAGGAAGTTATGTACACATGACAATATGCCATGCTGAATGCAGGTTACCAAATTGGCAACTGAAGTTGCAGATTTAGTCTCGAAAATTATTAATTTTTTTACTGGCCATGGAGACCAGCTTAGATCTCTGAATAGACATTAAATATGACAATTGAATGTCACAAAAAGACAGTAGGGAGGTTTTTTTTCCTTAGTGGAAGATTCAGTGCCTTACCTATGGTATGGGTCGCACTTGGGCAAAGTTTTCGACTTTCCGGCAAAAAAAAACACAGAAAATTTGAAACCGCAACCGGAAAGCAAACTTTTGGTTTCAACTATCAGGGTTGCACTAGGTGAAAAATTGTCAGTGCTGACACTTTGATAAACCAGACACACGTTTATCGACGTGTTATGGGGAGAGAGCAGTGAGCTGAAAAAGGAAAACAAACGTTAAAAAAATGCATCTCGTTGAAGCATTGTTAATAAGGATCACGGTGATGCTTATTCTTCTTATTCAGTTAAATCACGAGCACTTTTTTGTCTTTCGTATGATCTATGAAAGATGGGTTAAGGCCTGTTTAACTGTTTTGACTGCCGCTATGATGAGAGCGAGAAATCTATGTTAGTGAAGATTACTTCGAGCGCCATAAAGCTGGTCAGTTCCGTGACCAGTCGAGTCGTTTGCTGTTTACTGACAAGCGATGACAGTTACCGCTGTGATAGCTACTGTTTAGCCCGAGTTTTTCGAAATCTGCCTGCCCCACCCAAGCACTATGGTGTCTTTGATGTTTTCACTGGTTTTCAAAGTTTTTGCGAACTGGAAAAGTTAGGGTCGCATTAGGCAATGTGCCTCAATGACAGATTTTTACACCAGTGACCACATTCACACCAAACTTTGCCAAGTGCGACCCATGCCTATGTGAACAAGCTTTTGGTTAAGAAAAGGAGAAACTGACCTCTTGTTCTGTTTGCGTGACTGTGTGTTTGATTCTTTTCTGCTGCAGTTACAACAAGTTATTTAGATTTTTGTTAAAAGTGAAGAGAACTCAGTTGGATCTTCAACAAGTGTGGGCAGCATATATGGGCACCAAACACTTATCTACCGCACAGCTGTCAAATATGACAAAGATCTGGCTTTCAAGGATGCATATGGCCTTCTTGGTTGATAACCTACAGTATTACCTGCAGGTAACTCACAGCTAACATACAGAAGGAAATTCTAAAATTGTGGCGTTCTTATGTTTAAGAATTCACACTGAAAAATCTATCAGTTGTTTGTTGAAGGCAATTAAACTGACTCAGAGAATTTTAAAAAGCTAGTTTGTTTGTATACTGACCGCCACCCTCCTTTAAACTGAAATTATTTATTAATAATGATTGGCTTCATTTCGTTATGGACCATGATGTTTTCTTGGTTGTGTTTATACAGGTGGATGTGCTAGAAGTGCAGTACAGTCAACTTGTGGAAAAAATCAAGAGCACGAGAGATTTTGAGTCCATCCGTTTGGCACATGATAATTTTCTTACAACATTGATGGCTCAGTCTTTTTTACTCATGAAACCGGTTAGTTATGAATCAAATATTAAGTGAAGGGGAATGAAGTTAATGGTTGTTGACATAGAAGCTTTCACTTGTTAAACAAGTTCTCTATGCCAGTACCTGAAGAAATACAGTACATGGAGAGCAGTATGGGGAATATGCATACGGATGCTAAATTGTGTGAACAGTACAGGCACAAAGAGATAGGATTACTTTGGAACAGAGCAATTCCAGCCAAAGATAAAATGTACCTATATATGCTTTTTTCTCAGATTTTAAAATTTTTTTCTTATCGTTATTGGTGCGCCCTTTTTGATTGACAGGTGTCACATTGTCTTGAAGAGATATTGAACTTATGCCAATCCTTCAGTTCGCTCCTCCTTCAGACAGGCAGTAGTGGTCTCGCTAAGAGAGAACTGAGCCAGATTGACAACATCACTAAGGTATAGTAGCAGTGACAATATAGACAGTGTAAGCCGAACATTTTATGGGAAATTAATTTAAATACTTATCTCACTGGAAACTTTTTTTTCTTCTCTCTAGACGTACGAGAGACAAACAGTTCTTTTTTTTCAAATCTTGTCCAGCGTTCGAAGTCATCAAGCAAGTCCTCACCTGGCTCAGTTGCTCCTGAGAATTGACTTCAATAAACATTTTTCATCATCGACGTTCTCGTCAACTTCATCAACAGCGGAAACAACGAGGTTAGACAAAGACCTTTGACTCACAATAGTTAACCAGTCGTAGTTACGTGTGATATCTCTATATATATGTATTATTAACCAAGCGTGAGGTCAAGATGGTTGGATATTGACCGAGTTCAAATACAAAAAGATTTTGCTTTTAATTATTAAGATTTAAGAATGAATTGTTTACTTCGAGAGCTGGGAAACAAAGCCAACTGTGCTTGTAGCACAACAAACTTACGAGTGGTTTTTGTCTTCTTTGTTTTGACTATCTTCTGCCATTTTTTGCATTTCCATCACCTAAAAACTGTCAGAGAATTACGAACGTGGTTCCAATTCTATTTAGTATAGTTTCAGAGCTGAGCAAAGAGTTTCCAGCAATCTGATTGGTAGAGGGTTTCCTTATATGACACTATATAAACCGCTCCATGCGGTTTATATAAAATGTTAAAATAAAATGTTAATAAAAGCTCCTAAATTGTTATTATTTTAGAAAGTTCTCTGTTGTTCAGCTCTGAAATTATACTATTTTACAATTATTCACCTCAGGTTCGGTGAATATTGTTGAATAATCAAATTGTAGAATATTTATTTGACGGTATTCACCTTGCCTTTGGCGAATAATTGTTAAATATTTTTTTTTATGTGCAGGATCAATGTGGGCAATCCCGAGCGGGATGAGCCCATCATGCCAGCTTGGGTAGCCAATCAGAACACAGAATTTGCTTTGTCTCACCCACGGGCTCTATAAGCAATGTAATGATGCCATTTATAAACCCATGCAGCATACTTGGAATCAGCTTGATAACATGAATGAAGGCAGGCTTTGCTTTGTTTGATTGCATCCTCATTGGCCAGGAGTTGGAGAAGTAATGCTAAACAGAGCAGAAAATTGGCGGGTCGGTGATTGTTTTTATCTCAAAAATTCACTCTTGCTTGTTTATTTTAAATTGCACTCAAATTGTTAGTCTTCTTCGGAATTTTGGGTTCAATTTCACTCATTTCTTCGCTTTAATTAATGTGAAAGTTTCCTTTGAGGGTAATGAATATAATTTGCTGTCAGTTGTTCGTCATAGTTAGGGATATTTAGAAAGAAACCAGTACTGCACTGTAAAATATGGGAATGAAAATCCTAGATCGAAACACAGGAAACTTAACAAATTTGGAGAAATTGATAGGGATTATTAAGATCGTCAGAGAGCCAACTTTTTTATGGTTTTGTCTTCAGCATATCAGAAACCTCTGGCTGAGTTTGTTTGGAAATCAAGAACTTCTATGAATGAAGTTAACTTCTACATGGTTCAAGAGAGCAATATCTCTTCTAACAGCAACTTATGGCAACAGTTCATTATGAAGAACGCCTTAATGGACCATGGTTACCATAATGTGAAGAAAAAAACGTACTTCTTCTGGATACGGGTTTTTTTCTAGGGCTATACCAGGCTAAAAATGATGAACATAGGGAAAAAAAAATGATAAAATGAGAGGCAAAATGTCTTTTCTAAGATGTGCTAAAACAATAAAGTTATTGTAGGTTTTCCAAGCAATAAACGTCATGGGCAAGTCATTGGTATAATTACAGTACTCCAAAAGATAACTGTTTGTGCACCAGTCCTCATGTGTCAGAGTACACTCAGGAGGACAAATGTAACACCTTCACCCATTGCCACAGGGTCCTCACCATCCACGATTTAGAATAAATGAGCAGTCAACAACCTTGCGTGCCGAAAATTTGGAACGTGGGAGGAGGGGGGGAGGAAGAGAGGTACTTTTCAGTACCATGGATCCTTGATGGTAACACCATTCCTACCTCTTATCTGAAACCTAAGTTTGAAATTGGCTAGTGCCCTGGCTGTTGCACGTGTTTTTGCGTCCCCATAACACTACTTTGTTCGTTTGTGATACGCTTCTCCTTAAATCTCAAACACATAAAACTTTTTGGACTTCTGCTAAAATAAACAACAAAACTAAAAGACAACTTTCTACAAATGAGGTATTAACAGAGCATTGCTTTCTTTTGATAACCTTTGGAAATAAAATCCTGATTACTAATCTTTAAAATACAGTTTTCAATAAATAAATATTTCATGACACGTAAATTCAAAAATCTGATTTTCAATTTTGTCTAGATTTTAAATTGATTCTTGCCTAATGTATTTTTTATTATTTCAAACTCTTCATCTCATGAAGTAATAAAAAAATATTGTGATCTAATTATTTAACTTTGAATCTCGAGGGAATTCAGTTAACACGTTAACACGTTAACAAGTACTAAAATTGAAAGAGTATTGTATTCAGTCACTGCTCCTTGTGGCTTCCCAATCTGTCTCCATGGCCTCTGTGTTACCAATTTGAAAGTAGTACTAATTGTACTGAGGGACCAATCAACAAGGCCATATTGAGCAATGCAAAACAAGGACTAGTGCCCCTATTAATCCACCCTTGTGTAGTAGTTAGTGTGCTTGCTATGCAAGCTGTGAATTGCAGGTGGTTCAGTGGCACTTGAAAAACTATTCAAATATCTTGGTCCGTTAAATTCAATCCTCGTGTTGGGAGAGATGATATTTCATTGGAAGAGGTAGACCTCTGTAATTGAATGTGAATTTGATGGTGGTAGAATTTTCAGACCACAGACTGGTGAGTCTTGTCATATACATGTAAATGTTACATGACGACTGTTGGCAAGAAGTAGTGTTCGCTCACTGATGTGTTGTTTCACTTAAACACCCTTGTTTTGTGATAGTTGAAGTCTCTTACAACACTGCACAATTCTTGCTCCCATCTACTCCATCTACAAAGAGATTTACTGTTGATCTAATAAAATGAAAACAAAAAAATATTAAAGTAACAAAAGAAGGGAAATCGATAAAACTTAACATGTAAATTTCGTTGTTACATGGCAATAACTCGAAACCATTGAAATAAACATGAAAAGTTGTTTTTAAAGTTACCTGTTTAGAGTTAAGTGACTTCTAACCAGATCACCAGTAGCAAGAGCTGATAGTAAAGACAACTCTCCAGCAAGAACAGTGCCACATATTATTTGTGCTAATTTTGTTGAATTCTTTCCTGGCTCAGATTTGTTTGGCCCACGAACACCAAGAATCTGAAAAGGGAAAGGTGCAACACTGCAGGAGACTGTACTATCTTAAGAAATCAAACCCCAAAAAGGCATACAAATCATGGTGAGGAAAATAAAATGGTGCCCCTAGTCAATTTGTGCCTCTTATAAGGTTTTCCATGATGTTATCAATCATATCATGATCATGACAGTCAGAATCATAAGAAAATATTATTGGTTTTTGGACAACTAAGAACAAGGAAGTGAGTTATTGACAGCGAAAATTTTGTTTTGTGAACCCCTTTACACTTAAATAACGAATTACAGGAAATCCTTTGTTGTAAGTACCTTTGATGGCACATAAGGACAAGTACTTTCACCTATTGACGTCCAGTGCGCCCGTAAGCGCCCATGTGAACCCACACCCTTTCTACGCCTTGTGACGTCATCACTGTTAACCCTGGAGCATGACTTTGAGCACGTACTTGAAAATATCTTACAAACGATACCAGAATGAGTGCAATCGAGTGAAGGCGATTGGAGAAATAGCCAAAAAACCATGTAAACTTTGACCTGAAAATCTGCATGAAAATCTTATTCCATTACCCACCTACCTTTCTGAGCATGTGGTTTGAAAATAATGAGTAGTTTCCTAAAATATCTCTACATCAAAATGAAGCCTACCAAATTTCCAGCAAGTGAGGAGAAACTTCGGGCAAGGAAAGGGGGAAAAAGGGCAGGAGAAAGAGAGAAAAGTAAAAGTCTCCAAATTTTGCTTTCTGCGCGTGCCTGAGATTTTCAGGCCGCCATTTTGCATTTGGATCAAAGGCCGTCGAGCGTACAAACTGTCTATGGGTTTGTGGTAAGTTTGAGCTTTTACAACAACAACAGTGACCCGAAATCTGGTTGACTAGCTTCAAAACACAGTTTTTCACAAAAGCTGCAGCTATTATTGGGTTAATCATAAAAAGAATATTACCTTAAGACAAGCAGACTGGGGGCCCAACACAGTACCTCCTCCTACTGTTCCAACCTCAAGTGATGGCATAGTACAGCTGATCATAGATTGAAACAAAAGAATAGAAATTAGAAAGAAAGAGGAGGTATGCAAGTCACCTATAACTTGATTGTTGGTACAAATTAGTTCACAAGTGTCACAATTATCTTGAGGAATGGCTAGTTTGTCTGCAGATTCAAGTCTCCCTTCTCAACCCCCCACTCACTAAAAGAAAGCATCAGAACTTATTACCTAACATAAAGGTCTTCTTTAGTTGGTCCACATGCCTCAAACAGAGTGATACAGTTGCTGCTTGAAACACACTGTGCAGGGTCCTAACAAAAGGAAGATGTAATCTTAAATCACTTTCTTATGCACTTAAAATCTGCTTCCTGAGAAATCAATCTGCGTTAGTTTGTAGGCATGATATTAAATAAAACAGCTTGAGAACAAACTTGCTTATTAAATGTCGATTGAGTTCTTAATATTTAAATTTGTGTTAAGAAAGTGGATTAAAATCACACAAACTAATACTCAGTGTGAACAATTCATTTTTAACATTCAATAAGTTTTCATTCCACTGAAAAATGCATTTTAAACTTATTTTTTTTCTTTTCTACTTAAACAAATGGTCAGCTGTACTGTTCAAATTAACCACTTTAGAATATCAGGAAATCTGTGAAGTGAGGAAAAAAGTAAGTACAGCAACAAGGCATTATAATCAGAAGGGGGGGGGGGGGTGACTATATATCTTTGACACCAGCTTAAACAGAGTCAGCCCAAGGGTAAAAGGTAGCAAATGAAATCAACAGCAATGTTGTAGTTGCCTTCTTATTTGTACCCAACTTGGAGAAAAGTAAATTGATGTATTTTGGCTAAAGAACATTACCTGGCCTGTAGCTATAAATATTGCTGTTACTATGTTAGCAGCATGAGCATTGAATCCTCCAATGGCCCCAGCCATAGCAGAACCAACAAGATTTTTATTGATGTTAAGTTCTGAGAGGGCAGAGACTGTTGTTTTCAAAACCTGGAAGCAAGAAAAATAGAATCAATACATTATACTTTGCACAAAATCCAAGCACTCGTATTCATCTCAAAAGTTCTCCTGATGGTGAATGGAGAATTTATAACTATAATCAACTGGTCAAATGGTGCAGACTACTTAAAGATGTTCCGGCACTAATTTTGAAATTTCCAATCAAATTTCAATAGCATACCATTTACAGCAGTGAGAAAGTGAGTGAAACATACATACCTTCTGAACAACATGCCCTGGGATAATAGCCTCACATACAACAGACTTCCCTCTGCCTTCAATCCAGTTTATAGCTGTTGCTTTTTTGTCTGTGCAAACATTTCCACTCAAACTCAGCACTTCAAGAGTAGGAAAGTGTCCCTGTAAGCAGGTGAGGGCTTTTTCTGTTCCCTGTCACAACAAAATAAAAAAAAAATTAATAAAACACCAAATTGAATATGTCTTTTATTCTGTATGCTTGTTTACTAAATTATGAAATTAAATGGATACAAGTGGTTACTAGTAACATATAAATATAATTCAAGATTTCTATTACCTTTGATACCATGTTCATCCCCATTGCATCTCCAGTTGATGCTACAAATCTAATGAATAACAAGCGCCCTGCGATTATACCTCTTACTGACTGCAATCTGGCAAATCTGCAAGTTATATCCATCTATTAGAATGTTCTGTCCAAAGGAATAAATTGAACTATTCAACAAATTTATACTAATCATTAATTTCAATTCAGATCCATTTATGGGAGTCATACATTGTTGTTACCTTCCCCTAGAAAACAGATCAGTTTGGGAAGCCTATGCTTTTTTTGGGGGGAGCCTATATCCCTACCCTAACCCTTTCTCTAGACAGGTCTTTGTTTGATTGTATGACACCAAAGAGACCTGGATCAATCTAATATGAAAAATTCTAACTCTTGAAATTTGAAATTCTGCACCTACCTGCTTGTGCTGTCAAACTCTTTCTTGATTTCCATAAAATTTTTCTCTTCCTCTAACCACTGCTTAGCATTACTGTGATTCAATGTTAAATGAAAAAGTGAATATCATTTGTTTTCTTTTGTGCACAGTCCTTGGAAGTTTAGTTTTACAATTTTTATCTTCACTTATTTAGGACAAGACTAGCATCTGACTTGGAAGTATTTGATATTGAGAAGTAAAGAAACATGATCCAGTATTGATTACTGGTAGTTGAACATGTAACGGAATTTACCTGGCAAGAACTGCTGAAGGAAATCTTACTACAGGTCCCCTTGTCATGCCATCGCTAAACACAGAACTGCGAACACCACCACTCAGCTGAGAAACAAACCACTTTAATCAGAAATGACACCTCATTGTAACCGTAATTGTTTGTGAAATACTGTTTTTTTAAAACAGGTACTGAGGATTTTAACTTGACTCTGAAATAGTGTGGTTCAACATGTAGACGCTACAAAAGGAAAGTTACTAAACTGGAAAATTACCAGGAGAGCTCGACAACCACGATTAGTGCTTGCTACCAGACACCCTTCTGTAGTTGCCATGGGTACATGATAGTTCTCCCCATCTAGCAAAAGAGGGCCAGCAACACCTACAGGAACAGGCATGTAACCAATCACATTTTCACAACAAGCTCCCACTACCTGAAATAAAAAAAGGACAGCTGTTAGTTTGATATCAAGGGTAAATTCTCTGAGTATGAACAGCAGATAATACCACTTACATCAGAGTAGTTGTAATGGTCACAGGGTAGATCAAACAAATCTGTATCAGATGAGAGTTTCTTTGACACCACACTGCGCCTGCAAAATGGTTCAATATAAGTAATGTCTCATGAGCACAGTATTGTTGCTAGCCTTCTCATTAAATCATCTAGAAAACAGGGTGGAGATTTTGAGAAATCCCATTTTCAGTGGCATGTGAGCAATCTTCTACAAAGTAGTTTTATTGTAATGCTTGGATCACAGACTGAAGTAAAATTAAGTTCTTGAGCATATTCGACAGCACATACGTGTCAGCTTGAGAAGATTGGAGACACTCAATTATTCTGACTGGAATTACATGACTGGCCTCAGTCATGCAATTCAAAACCCACTTCCTTGTATTTTACATTCAACAGAAGTCACTTTGTACCTGATTCTCACTGCCCTTGCTGGATCTTTCAGAACCTTTTCTAGCTGATGACCAGGAATGGTTTTACACTCTACTAACATCTGGACTTCCTTGTCGTTCAAGCGTAACACTCCATCCTGTTAAGAAAAATGTACCAAGAAAACATCAATTTTACATGGTTCACACTTTGATTGACAACTGAAAGTCATTTTTAACTCAAGTTTTAGACAAAGAAAAGTTAACCTACTGGTTGTTTTAGCATCAGCTTGCATTCTTCCATACTGCGTTCTTTGTATTCCGCTATTGGAGGACTACTGTCCAACCTGGCAAGAGCTAGAGGATGCTTAATGTCATCACTTGAATAGCACACACTACAGTGACCTTCACTAACTGTTCTTCTTCTATCATGGACCTTTAATTTTGTTATAGAACTAAGTTTCTGGGATTGTTCTTGATTTTCTTCCTTGATGGCCTCTTTTCTAGATAAGCATACAGGCTCAGATCTTGTTTCAGCAGTCTTTTCAGAAGCTAAGCTTTCTTCACTTGATTTATCAGATTCTTGTTCACCCCCTTGAATGTCTGTGACTGTGGTGTTAGATGCCCGAGCTTCTATGTGTGTCTGCTCCACATGCTCATGCATTCTGTCTTCATTATACAAAAAGAACCTGATTGCTAAGCTGACCCCAAACACTAACACAACAATCTGAAAAAGATTAACAAGAATTGATTAAACTCCAAGCAAATCCACCAGAAAATAAAGATCAAAGGTGGAGTATTATTACTAGTTGGTCAGGTTTCTTTCATCACCTGTTCAGTATTTCCAGCTAAGAACCTGTGAAGAAGTAAGAAAATTATTGTAAGATAAATTTCAACAACAGCACATACTATAATTTTCTTTATATTTTTTCATTAGTTCAATGTCACTGGGTCCGTTTGTTAAAATATTATATAGATAGAGCCATTGTAGACTCCCTTTAAGTTCCTCAATTTGATCATGCATGTTTGACTGAAGAGGAGTTCAGTTCCTTGCCTTCTTATTTAATTCTTAGTCAGGACTGTATAATTGTGACATCCAAACCTGTTTTTCAGGGTCATCTGTCTCAACCTTGAAAATAATTATAACTTTCACATGACACCCAAATACCTTTTAAACCAGTCTTCTTCAAGAGGAGTATTCCCGAAGGAATTTTCACTGTTATCACCACTTCTAACCATAACCCAACGGTGCAGATGAACAAACATTAAACCTGTGGACTACAATGATAACAGCCACAAAATTAGGTAATATTTTATGATAATCCAATACATAATTACATACATTTTACAGCTCACAAATGACTGATACGAGAAGAACCCTTACAAGTTGGTACTAAACAATTAAACCTAAAACCTAGGTTTTAGGCTTCCTGGGTTGGGTAAGGTCTTTGAACCTTGTAGGGGATGCTATATCCTTTTGTTGTAACACCTGTATATATATTCTATATGTATAAATCTTGAAATAATTAAATAGTAAATAAATAAATAATATAAGTTCCAAGAAATAATAACGTATAACCTCCTACCAAGGTTATTAAAAGAGATAACTACAGTGTACTACTTAATAAATCAATCTTTGTACCATCATTATATAAACAGAGTTCATTCAGGAGGTGGTATGGAATTCCTGGTGGGTAGTTCCATATTTGAGAAATTCTCAGCTAAGTATCAGTACTATAATGTAATGAAAAAGAAACATCACTTGGCCATACCATAATAAGTTTAATCTGCTGCACAACAGGGTTTGGCTCAAGTTCCTCCTCTGTGGTATCTGAAGATTCCAACTGCCACCTTGGTCTACTGTTTCCTCTTCCTGTGCATAACTATAAAATACATATAACAGGCTTCCACTATAACTTAACACATTTTTTACTTTTCCTTAAGGTGCAAATTAGTAGTTTCTTTTGACACATTATAAAAAATATTCAAGTATGGTAACAACTTGAAACTGAGGGAATAGGTATAGGTGGTCAATTTTATGGAAATTCATTGCTGCGTGCCTGCTTTTGTCGAGACAATAGAAAGTTTGAGAATTCACCTCAGTTTCAAGCAAGTCCAAACAAAATTAATCTCTCTGGGACTTTAAATTACAAACAGTTGAAACTACAAAAAGCTTCCTGTATTCATACCTCAAGGAACAATGACAGGCAGGCAGGAAAGAAGGTCATAAATAACACATAATGGGTGATAAGAGATAAACATCCAAACTGACAAATAGTCTCCAACTCTGTGACATCTGCAATAAAATACAACAGATTTGTAATTTAACATGCCAAGATAAAAGTGTAAATTCAATACACTTCAATTTATGTTGAAGAAAAGTGAGAAGGTTAGGTTGACTTGTGGCTAGTAAGATAAACTCTCCCAGGAAATGTTTTGGTTTAAATCCCAGCGTGTTCTTAGAAAATGCAGTTTTCTCTTAGAGGAGTTCATATGTGTAGCAAGGAACTGTTTAGGGAATTTGATGCAGACTGGGTATGCTGTAACAGACAGGGGTCCTATCCAAAAGTCCTGATCACTTCATGCAACAGAATCTAGGATAGACTTTGGCAGTCTGAGTCACCAAAAAAAAGCTTGGTTTTTTTTTGTTCTCTACAAAGGAAATTAAAGTATATTTAACTTAGGACTGTACACTGCACAAACCTGATAGAGTTCCTATACCAATTACCAAAGTACCAACTAGTGTATTGAGTGTCACAGTTGGACCAAGGTAGCAAATACTTTCAGCAATCCTGCCAGGAACTGCACTCTAAAAAGTAATGTGGAATTTCAGTTGTTATCTAAAAAACACTGAAAATAAAACACTGTTAATAAAACAAATCAACTTTAATGACCCAACAGTCCAGATAATGGAGAGTTTGGATAATCAAAAATATGAATATAAATGTTGGTAGGTTAAGTCACAGGACTAGAGAAGCAAGTTCAAATAATAAAAAAAATCTGGATAACTGTGGTCCAGATAATCGAGGTTTGATGATACTTACATAAGTTGAAGACTGAAGAGTGTGCTTCACTAAGGAACTAGCTGTATTGAAGTCACTAAGAAGAAAGAAATACGGAAGAGCCTCCCTGCAAAAGTTAACAGTCTGAGATTACTAGAAGCTCTTGACTGTTGAACAAATTCTCCTTGTCAGCACTATAGGAAATGTATGGAACTGTGTTGAGACTATGCATACTGATGATAGGGTGTCAGGGGTTAATAATAACTCAATGACTCCTGCGAAAGTGAAAGTCAAAAATCAGTATCACAGAAACAAAGAGCATGTGATTTGAGCTTAACCCACTGGTAGGAAACAAATACATGAAGTTATCATAGTCAGGCATTAGGCTAAACACACTCTTCTATTTCTGGCATAATCATATCTTTGATAACTAATTACAACATACAGTTTGCAAACTTGACAGGAAAGTATTAGCTTACAAGATAAGGCCTGTATTTTATTGTATTGTATTGTATTGGCCTTAAACTTAAAATTTCATAGAATGTTTGTGAATCATGTCTAAAACCTCACCTTACAACCCAAAAATCTCTGCCATATAAATTAGCCACAATGGAACTGAAGACTAGACAGGAAAAGACTGCAAACATGGATACAAATCCTGAAAATTGAATAGAGAAAATGGCTCAAGAAATTTTATTGAGGATAAATTTAGTTGTAGATGGAAAACATTTCTTGAAATTANTTGCAAACTGTATGTTGTAATTAGTTATCAAAGATATGATTATGCCAGAAATAGAAGAGTGTGTTTAGCCTAATGCCTGACTATGATAACTTCATGTATTTGTTTCCTACCAGTGGGTTAAAGTGCACCTACACTCAAAAAATTTTTTTCGCCTAACGAAGTAAGCTTATTTTTTTGAGTATTTCTGCGCAAAAATTTTTTTATTTGCTCAAATCTTCAATTTTCTATGCCCAGTCAAAATACGGAAGATCGGCCGCCATCTTGCCCCACGACCGAGTTTAAAGAAGAATGGCTCTAGCGGGTAATGTGACGTCAAATCGAGAACACGAAAGTCTGCTTTTCACACATTTTCACTTGTTTGGGAAGGTTGTAGTCGATAATTGTCCGAAAATATGCCGACTAAGTGTGTTGTAGAAGGATGTAGCAACGTGCGAAATTTGCAAGAGGGTATCGCGCTCCATAAAATCTTCATAGAACACACCTAGTCGGCATATTTCGGACGATATCGACGACAATCTTCCCAAGCAAGTGAAAATGTGTGAGATGCAGACTTTCGTGTTCTCGATTTGACGTCACATTACCCGCTAGAGCCATTCTTCTTTAAACTCGGTCGTGGGGCAAGATGGCGGCCGATCTTCCGTATTTTGACTGGGCATAGAAAATTGAAGATTTGAGCAAATAAAAAAATTTTTGCGCAGAAATACTCAAAAAAATAAGCTTACTTCGTTAGGCGAAAAAAATTTTTTGAGTGTAGGTGCACTTTAACCCACTGGTAGGAAACAAATACATGAAGTTATCATAGTCAGGCATTAGGCTAAACACACTCTTCTATTTCTGGCATAATCATATCTTTGATAACTAATTACAACATACAGTTTGCAAACTTGACAGGAAAATATTAGCTTACAAGATAAGGCCTGTATTTTATTGTATTGTATTGTATTGTATTGGCCTTAAACTTAAAATTTCATAGAATGTTTGTGAATCATGTCTAAAACCTCACCTTACAACCCAAAAATCTCTGCCATATAAATTAGCCACAATGGAACTGAAGACTAGACAGGAAAAGACTGCAAACATGGATACAAATCCTGAAAATTGAATAGAGAAAATGGCTCAAGAAATTTTATTGAGGATAAATTTAGTTGTAGATGGAAAACATTTCTTGAAATTAAACAATTATTGAGCAGCTACTTTCAACACACCTGTTATAAAGAACAAAGCATTTAAAAAATAACTCAACACCACTGTGAAGATTGAGCCTGCTACAAGATGTCTACTTTTCTATCGCTTTGACTGTTAGACTCAGAAAATTGCTTTAAAATCAAAATTGTATCTACTTGCATGGATGACTATCTTACCTAAGATGTATGAAGATCCTTGATGAATAAGCTTTTTACACTGAAGATAAATGCACACAAGAGCAAAGAAATAACTTGTGGGGCCCACATGTAGGCCAGCTGGTAAAGATATCTAAAATTAAAACAAAAGGGCAAATATCAGTGAATAAAGCCTAAAATTCTTGCCAAATTCTTCACATTTAACGATATATTTACTCAAACAATTGAAACTGTCTGGATTTCTGTGAAGATTACACAAACAAATATGCAACAATGTTGTATGGGATTTTCCATTTGATTCCATTTGATCATGTGAAAATGGAATTTCTCTCAAAGGTCCACACTCTTCTCTTAGTCGAAACCAAATTAGGACAACTCTGATATAATTATATCAGATTTGCCTCAACTTGTAAAAAAAACATTATAAAAGGTACGATCAGAGTGGAAAGTTCAAATAATATGTTCACACCTATAATAATTCCGATGACTAACAATTTACCAAACTCTAAATAACTTTTTTTTTATATTGACCAAATACAACTTCTTTGTGATATGCCCTAGACTACCTTCTGTGGTAAAATCATGGAAAGCAATTTGGATTAAACTATTCAGGAGGAAAATGTTTATTTACAGCAATTATCTAAAACAATTGCTTTCTTGTAAGTTCTTGATATTCAAACAAAGCTTAGAGAGGGTTTCTTACACCGCTTCCCATTCAAGTTGTTAATTTCCGCTAAACTGAAATATGTACACCGCAAATGAGATTAGGTTATGGCCATAAATTCACACTATTCAAACCATTTCCTTGAATGACTTTCGTATGATTTCTTTGCTCATTAAGCAGCACGCAATTGAATTAGTATCGTGGACGAACTTTCATGAAATCAAAAGGCATAAACCATAACCTGACATTCGGTGTAAACACTTGTCGATATCTAAGCTATGAATTTAGTCACGACATGATCCGTACCAAAACATCCTTTCAAAGTGGAAGTTTGCTAAATTTGATCAGACTTATTTGCTACAAAGAAGATATACGTAGCGGTCTAAAACTGTACCCAGTAATTTAAATTTCGATAAGTCTGGAAAAGTCTACTGACCTCCTCGCCGGAACCTATGGTCAGGTCTTTAGAAGAATGTGTTGCATCGTATATATTCAAACTTAACAAACAAACAGTTCCAGTGATACAGACCAACAGAACTTCAACAGGATGACGAGAACACTGTCTACCATGGTAGTAAAACAGGTTTGAAATACCACTTTGCGACATGAAGAATTTTTTTAACCGAAAACTTGAAACACTTGAAGTTTACTCCCTGCCTTCCAGCATGTTATGTCAAAAAACGTGGCCGGTTACCAAGCCGATATGACGCAACTCAGGGGGGTAAATCCCTTGTTATTTTAGCATCAAGTTAGCTTAAGACAAAAAAATATGCCTGGATCGGATTAATTTTGCCACAAAACGCGGAAAATTTTCTGATATTCGTATTATTCACCTGAAAATAGACAAAAGCAAACGATTGTTGATTTTCATGAAAATGAGACAACCGCAAAGCCAGAAGAGTCATGTGACACAAATCTTTCGTTCGTAAAGCACCATGGGTATGTACCCATAGTACCTAGCAAACTCCTAACGCGTGCACCAGGTGTTCAGGAAAAAGAAGGTGAAAGGAGGAATTTGGTGAGTAAAACTTTGCTTTTTCGTTAATTCTAAGCAATCTTTTCGCACAACAGTACCTCAGGAATGTTAAAACGATATTTTTTATCTCAGCTGTATTTGATAATTTATGTATTCTGGTCGAAAGCTGCGAAAAATCGCTCCGATTATCTGCACGCGTGCATGCACCCAACTGGTACTGAGAGCATTGAGTTAATTTTACGTTAGCAAAATCATTCGGCAAATTGACCTTTTTTCTTCTTTCAAACCCATCGTGTACTTCCCCTTAAGAATGATAAATATAAAGTTAATGCATTGCAAAAGGCACTAGATTTTCTTGTCAAATGCACATGTAGTTCGCCGTTTCGTGTGATTCGCCACTTATTGAGGAAATTTTTTTGTGAGGGCCATGCCGTACTCACATCATCTTGCAAACGAGTAAGCTTGGCGAGCCCTGGTTTCTCCCATGAATTTTAAATATCTCTAAAATGGAAGAATATTAATTTTATTGTTTTTGAGAAATGGCTGATTGATTCCTTTAGTATATACGTTGTATCAAGGAATAATTATGGTTAAATTGTCTTCAACAAGCTATGCATCATTATATAGCCGTCCGTAATGCATTTATCTTTAAAAATGTATAAGTAAGCAATAGAACACATTTTTGCAGGCCCAATAACATGATAAAGTCATGAAGGATGATAGGAGAACACAAAAAAAGCTTGTAAATCACAAGCCGAAGGCAAGTGATTTACAAGCTTTTTAAGTCTTCTTCCAATTTCCCAAGTGGTTTTATCACATTGTAGAGCCTGCAAAAATGCATTCTATAGCTATTATGACATAACTACCTACATGCAGGCTCTATAACATGATAAAGCATCCACTTGGAAACTGAATTGACCAATCAGTTATTATCAATTATTAACATTTATAATACTGTCTAAAAGGAATGCTGGAATTAATTTTTGCTGGTATGGCAACCATGCAAACTAAGGGTTATTTTTAGTATAATATTTAGAAAAATCAACAAAGATATCAACATTTCTGACATGTGAACTAATGAAGGGCAAACAATTTTGTTAGTCACATGGAAACTAATTATCATGTTTCTTTCTGTGAAATGGCAGATTTTTCTGCCATGAAGATGGGATATATATTTTAATAGTTATTCTGTTCAGTGTCTGTTCATCATGAGCTGGATCTTCTTTCAACTAGCCAGGCTTTAAAAATGAGGCTTAAGACCTTCTCTTTGAAGAGTATCATTTCTCTCAAACTTTTTTGTTATTAACACATTGACACCTGAACTGCCCGTAACTGCCCGAACGTCGCAATTGCCTCGCGCGAGAACGCTTTCCCCCTTACCTCCCTTACTAAGTAGAGTTTTGTCCCCAAACTTCCTCTATAGTTTGGAGATCAATAAGCCAATCAGAATCCGTCGCTTGAGCATATATTTTGTTGGCTTTAGGGGGTACTAGAGGGGCATTATTCTATGTGTCTTCACTAAATGACCAAATTTGAAAAGATGGCATCCTCGCGGCCAACCCTCAAAATTTTCAGGTCTGATTTTTCGTTCATTTGCGATCGAGTTAGACCTTGTGGAACTCAGAATGTAAAGTAACAATGCTATAGAATACTCTGCTTGGAAAAGAATGGATATCAAGGTCTTCAAGGTGACAGAATAAGCTCTCGAGTCAACGACACTACGATTCTCTAAGGTGATGCAAATTATGGACGTAAAGTGAAAACCGAACTTTCGGACGTCAAGCAGGGCCTAGCGACAATTTGACAATTGGATGGCCCGGTAAATATTATGTTAGAGTAACAACGTGTTCAAAAAGTATTGTTTCATAGAATATTTTGCCTCAAATTGAAGTTTTTTCAGAATTTTCAACATAATGCTGTGCAATTTCTGGCCATGAAGGCAAGTAAACAACGATCTAAGCATGATGAATTTTACCGCCTGGGCTTTGTACATGTAAGAAATTCCTACGTTTTTCGCTTATAACAGCAAATCAAAAACTGTTTTGAATAAATCCGACATCCCGAAATAATTCTTGGCCATTTTAGTCTAGCTTCCTATTGATAGATTCCTTGGAACTTGAGATCTCTTCACTCATGGAGAAATTTGCATATTCCCTTTTGAAATATGATCCACGCGCCCATTTTCACACATGCGAAAATATTTAGCGATTTTTATCTTTCATCTTGATTTTTGAGTTAAAACATAATATGCACCTATGGCTTTTTTTGCCGGAAATAGGTTCTTTAATTTGTCTTCTTTCACTGGAGCTTGTTTTTTGGAAAAGATGATTTTTAAAAATTTACTGTGCATTGTGTTTGCCTTCTTGGTTTCTCCAGAATTTTGACTTTTCGTAGGCAGGTGTTACATGTAAGTGTCAATGGGTTAAGGTATTTACATTTTACAATTCAAATGACACATCGGTAGTGGGCTCTTTATACATACAACGGCCTTTACTGCGGTGAGCATTCCTCATCATTTATGTTGCATGGTTTCAGCTTCCCAGGTATCAAAGTTTATTTACTGTGAATCTTGTAACTGGAAAATCTTCTTCAAAACATAATCTTTCTGCTTACAAGATTTTCAACATGGTTTCTCCCTATTGTCTGCTTCAAATTTTGTTCATAATTTTTATTTTACTTTAGTCATTACCTTTTTGCTTGACAACACTTTGAGGAAGGGGAAAACTGCCGATTGGGCATTCATTTGGAGTGAAAGGGTATAGTAAAACTTGCCCTGCACAGTTGTAAGGTGAATAACATTCTGTGTCATTCTCTTACAACAGGTCAGTGTATTTCAGAAAAAAACATTGTTCATTATTTATCATGGAGCAACCTGCGGCTGATCAAGGTGAGTACATGTACTTTTTCCAAGTTTTAGATAAGATTCTTGACAGAATATTGGCCTAAAGACAGAAGTTTAAACTATTGAGGATTTAAACTCTGGCCAGTTCCAGTTGCATTTAGTTGTATAACAAACTTTAAAAACAATTTCAAGAATATTTTCGTCAAACTGTGGCTTTCCAATATAACTTTTTTGGAGTTAACTTCTAGCTCTTTTAAAAGAAAACTGAATTTTTCCTTTTAAAATGATAAAGGAATGGGGATGAAGAGACCAGCTGAAGAGGACTACAACAGCAATGTTCATGCCAAGAGAGTGAAAGATGAAGAGGGTGGAGTTAGTGGAGAACAGACAACTCTTCGCTTTTTACTTGAAAGCAGGGTAAGAAGTTTGATAAGGATTATAGTTTTATAGTGTTGTCAGTACAGTTTTGTTTGGCGGTCATGTTTGTCCCTGTTCTGTTTGATGCATCTGTGGTCATTCAAATTTCTTCTTGGAGTGGAATTTTCCAAACCAGTTTCTTCTTAATCATCTTCCCTTGTTTTTGGTTATGAGGATAAATACAAGACAAAGGAAAACAAAAATCAAACTGTTTTGCAAAATTTGAACCATAGCTTATCTTTAACCAGATTTCCTCATGCGGCATGTAGGTGTTGTGTAATTAATTTTTTTCAAACATGATTATGAAAACTGAAATAAATATTGACAGCAAAGTAGGCAACTTTGTGACATTCAATCGAAAAGGTATTTTGGGGAAAATGTTTGCATGAACTGTAATAGATAAAAAATTTTGAACCAAGTTACCTGCTTGTTAGTAAGGGGATTTTGATAAAAAAAAATGCATTGTTTATTAATTATTTTAGACACATCTGATGCTATTCTCTCTCGATATATTTTAGGATGCTGGTGGTATCATTGGCAAGGTAATGCTTATTTGATGGTAGTATGTACTTGTGATTAGATTTACTTTGATGAAAGAACTTTCATCGTATCTTGGGTTCAGTAACTTTGTTTTATGCATGCTGATGATGCCTTTGTGAAGCCTTTGATGAAGTTGTGGAGTATAAAATGAAGTATAGTTTCAAAGTTTAGAAACAAGATGACAGATAGTTGCTCCCTGTATTAGTATTGCAAAGCTTATAAATAATAAATCTCGTATTACTGTTGATTAGTATTACACCTATTTACAAACATTTGTTTTCTGTTTTCAGGGGGGACAGAATGTGAAAAGATTACGTAGTGAGGTATGAAACTATGTTTTTTTTTTCTTTATTCTATGTTTTGAAACAGTTTTGTTTATAGTTAAATTGCAAATAGATCAGTGTTTGATTACTGGTCCAATTTACATCAGTAAACAGTTATGTATGAAAAGTTGGTAAACAATTTCTTTTTCTGCTTCACGAGATTTATTATCACTGGTTTGATGTCAATGTTAAAATTTTTTAATCTCATCATGACTTATTTTGTTTGTCTCTACATACGCATTTAGCAGATACTGTATTGACGTCCAGATGAATTATTTCATTCACAATAATTTTACATTATGTTTCAAGGGTTTTTACCTCATAAGATTGCCTCTGTTCCTCTTTAAATGTTTTATGACTTGTGATTTTCCCAGGCTTAGGCTTTGAACTGCATTCTGTTTAACTCCTTCCTTTCCCTTGTAGCTTATCCAGCTAACCAAGTACCTTCATAGTTGTCAGATGCTCTGTTCTACCTCTGGAATTATAGTAGTTTATCCCTGCTAAGTTGTTGTTGTTTTTCTCTCCTATTATTCCCTCTGTGTTCCCATCCCGGCCCTATCTACCCGTTCCCATCCATCTACCTGCCTGACACCCGCCCGTGTTGGTCCCTGTTGTGATCTCACCCAAGTTCAAAGCAGTGGTCAATGTCCCGGATACCAATACCCCTGAGCGGTATGTCCCATGCGTCACATTAATGTGTGTCCTGGCTTCCTTTACATTACACTGCATGTCACTGATAACAGTGTAATCCTATCATAACTAGTGGGATTGATTAAAACTATAGATAGAAGTCATGCCTCAAACTTTTACTTTAACTCAAATGCCAGATTTTTGGGGTGTAATGGCCAGTATTGAATGAGTTGAGTGATGTAGATATGAGCATATGCTGTTTGATGCCCTTTGTTGTATTGAAATGTAATGTTTTCTGTGGTGGTCATTCATATATTTCAAATTTTCTGTTAGGAATGTTAGGATGACTTTACTACCATAGACACATGTGTATCAGAAATAAGCACATGTCCTAAAAATGTGAACAATCACATTTTGGGCACTTGAGAAGTGAGGAAAATTCTCAAAACAAAAATTTGCTTCTTATATAAATGGTGTCTCTACCCAATCTGTTTTGTCTTAGTTTTTAAGGCATGTAGCCCTCTGCACACTCTCATTTCCAAATTATTTCTTTATTCATAGTGTATTAACCATCACTGCTGCTTATGATGATGCAATGGCCATATTTTCAGAGTGCTTACCAAAGATCGGTGGGGTAAGATGACTCAACTTCAACAATTTTGATATGTTTGGGTCGAAAGAGATCACATTTTGCAGGCAACAAATTTTGGTTCTGTTGTCATATATGTTCCTGAAATCATTTGCATTTGGTCTAAGTTTGCATTTTCAAACCATAAATGATGTACTTTCTTCAGTTATGAAGGGTTTTTGACAGAGGCTTCAACTAATAAAAGTGGTCATTTATGAAGCTTTGAAGGCTGGTGGGCTATTTGTTTGGGATTTAACTCTGGCTCTCTGTTTTTACCTGTTGTATTGTTTATGGTTATGTATATGGTTTATGGTTAGGTATATGGTTATGGTTATGTATGTTTACCGCCTCCCAGTTAGCTCAATGGTTAGAGCGCTGGACTGTTGTGCGGGAGGTCGAGGGTTCGAGCCCCGGGCTGGACCAACACTCAAGGTCTTAAAACAAGTGAGAAGAGTATGCTACCTTTCTATAACATCAAGAAATGGTTAGATACTCTAGTCTTCTCGGATAGGGACGAATAAATGGAGGTCCCATCTCCTGCAAGATTAGGGGGAGGAAACGTTAATTTCCCGAGATTACTGTGTGATGGATGTCCTCCCCTGAGGTGGTTGCTGGATGGGAATTGGCCTTGAAAAGTCCCCATGGGGAGTGGTCAATTAACATATATATATGTATGTAATGCGGTCCTGGTTTCTTTATGATACTAGCTGGTCAGAATAAACTGATTACAAAACTGAACTTTTTTTTGTACTTTTTTTAAGCGCCAATCAAATCCCAATGGGAAAGAAATCCAGATGTTAGTACAACGAAGTCAGGTCGGGAGTGTGATTGGGCAAAAAGGACAGAAAATTAAGGAAACTCGAGAGGTAATTTTTGCTGGGTAATGTTTCCTGGATAATTTTAAGTGTCACAAAAACAAAGAAAAGATGTACTCAAGGAGAAGTTCTCTGCTAATAATTCTTTTTATTTTCTTGGCAGAAAACTGGAGCACAAATCAAGGTGAGTGGGTTTGACATAAAGCACTTCATATGTTAACTTAAATTAATCTGTTAACTGTTGACAAGGCAAGAAGTTGTTTGTTTTCTTGAATTTTTTGATGTTGTAACAATGATTTCATAGCATGCCTATTTATCACTTTAAGGTTCATTCTGATTGTTTACCTGGATCAACAGAAAGAGTCGTGTCTATTCGCGGTAAGTTTTTGATCATTAACATGTTTCTTTGCCCTCAGTTATATCTCTTTCACCTCTGCACTCAACATAATATCCTAAATGTGAGATTTTTCCCACAGGTACTGATGAAGTCATTGTACAATGTGTCAGAGAAGTTATCGATCAGTTAAATGAAGTAAGTGAAGGAGGAAGTTTTATCAATATTTTTTATCCTTAAGAAGGCAATATGCAAGCTCTGCTAGCTAACCTTTGTTGGGCTTTTTATTATAGTTATTGAAGTATACAAAACATTTCTTTAGTCTCCCTTGAAAGGGTCAGTGTCCTTGTACGATCCAGCTGGCATGAATGACTGGGATTATGGTGGTGGTTATGGACCCAGTGGAGGTGGCCGTGGACGTGGAGGAGGCAGAGGACGGGGGGGTCGAGATGGAGGAAGAGGAGGATCTCGTGGAGGTCGCGGGGGAAGAGGTGGTTTTGGTGGTGGTGACAATATGGGATACGGAGGAAACTACTCACAAGATTTTGTAAGTTTCAGATGTAATTGATTGGTCAGCAATTTCAAAGTATTTGCTGGAGATTTCACCTTTATCTTCTGGAGAACATCTGTAAAGCCAGATTGATCTAATATTTGTGATTTTTTTTTTTTTAACATTTCAGGGTGGTGGAAACGTGGGAGGTGATGTGGGAGGTAAAAATCATGTCTTATTCTCTTTGTAATGTTTAAGGCAAATACATTATGCATAATATTGAATGTATACTTACTTTTTGTCTAAGCTTCCTCATACAACATTTACCCCCTGAATGTGGGGTGCAGAAAATTTCTGTGGAGATTTTTACATTGTTGAGTGATAAACACTTTCCTTAAAGCTCCACACACTTAAAAATTATGTGGAATGATGGTGGTGATTCTGTTTGGCTTGGGCCATCAACCTTTTAAGAAATTATCTTTGATGAAAATCAAGCATTGTGTCAGAAATAAAACTGTTTCTTTGCATTTTGTATTGAAGGTCAGTGGAATCAGGGGGGGCCTTCAGCAGGAGGAGAACAAACTACAACACAAGTTACCATTCCCAAAGATGTAAGTTACATTTATTAAGGTCCTTGCTGAGGAAATGGAAATTGTCTGTTCTTCTTACCAAATTGAAACCTGTTTGTTTTATTTAGGTATTCAAATGCACTAATTAAATGACAACCTTTTTATAGTTGGCAGGGTCTATTATTGGAAGAGGAGGAGAAAGGATAAGACAAATAAGGTGAGGATATGAGATGAATACACTCTATGTTGATTCTGGAAGTTATTTTAAGTATGAAAAAGGATTGCAGCAAAGTATGTATACCGGTACTTTACATAACCATTCACTTGTATGTTTGCAGAAGTCGCAGTGGCGCAAACATAAAGATCGATGATCCTCTTCCGGGTTCAAATGACAGGATTATCACCATTGGGGGCAACCAATCCCAGATTAATTTTGCTCAGTTTCTTCTTCAACAAAGGTAAGTTTATCAACACTTCTATGATAATTAAAAGGTTTATTCTAGAAATTGGCTAAATAGGGCGCACAAGTTGCTACCATCTTTTTGTCCAGGTAAATTTGGTTCCACCATCCATCTTAGCTAACAACTGAATTTTTTTTCTTGCAGTGTACGACAATACTCGGGCAAGAATTACTAAACTTGGCCAAATTGTCTGGCTGGACATGCCTAGTCACACTAAGTTTCATCACTGTTAGCTTCTCATGACAAGTTCAGGGACTTTTTTTGAACAAAATCTTTTTTCCTTAAAAAAAATCTCTATCTGGAAAATCTATATTTCCTTATTTGTAAAAATTACTTTGCCATTTTAAAATAGTGCGATTAAGTTAACTGAATTCTATTCTGCTCTGACTTTTATTTGATCTTAGTTTTCCAGAAAAGTGTAATTTGCATTGTTCTGAGAAATGGGATACCCACTTTGCATTAAAGATTAAGCAGTAGTTTGTTCACTAGTGACTCGGGTAGAAAATGCTGGATAAATGTGATTTTTTAGCATCACTACAGATTAAGTGTAATATAGATAAGTGATTGAGCCTTTTTATTAGTTCTTTTTGTAGTTGTTTTTTTTTTTCATTAGTGATTGACTTAGAAATGGGTTGTAAATCTGGTTCTATTATGTAATGGATTCTTAAATTTTGTTGTAAACTTAATAAAGCCGTTTGACTTGAAAAGGTGTCAGCAGTGATTGTTCTTAATCTATCATTTCAGAGGCTTAGCTTGGCACCACAAATATCTTCTTAAGTGAACAGCTTCTTTTCCAACAATTGCAATTTTAGATTCTCAAAAATGCTTCAACAAGTCGGTCTCACTGCGCCTGTTGAAACATTCTATTCTTTTCTAGAGATGATTTGTGATCAAATGATAGGACAGTCTACTGAGATTGCTTTTTCGAGGATATCTGGTAAAAATATTGCAGATTGTTTCACTTGAAAACGTCTTGTAGAGTTCGTTTCACAATAGTAGCAACTTGTCGAAAGTAACTCAGATGCCATAGGTAAATGGAGTTCCCTAGTTGCATGTATTAAAAGGTAACTTTAAGGTAGGAAAGCTACCCGAATGCTTCATTTCCTTGTGGAAAAACATGTTTATTTTTTTCGAGGTGGCAAACCTCTCAGATTACATAACAGAAAGCTATCTCTCGGATGAAAAGAATTGAATGAAATGAAACTTTTAGTAATCTAACTAATCGGAGAATGGTCTTGCCACAAGGTTGATTTTGTCATTATTATTACTATTTATTATTATTATTATTATTATTATTATTATTATTATTATTTAAGATCCCTCGCAAGTAAGCTTTCAAACAAGAATAATGAACCCTATGCCAGCATCATTTACTGGCTACAAATACAACTTTCACTTGCCATATTAAGAACTGTACACAGATGCGTAAGAGGTTCTAGAGTTCCGTTTAAATCACGCGAGGTCGCAGAAGACTTCACCCTCGCTGTAGCTGGTCTACATCTGCACTCATAATTTTTAGGTCTTTATTATTTTAATAGTTTTTCCTATTTAGTAATGCTAAGTTTTTTCTTTTCTCATACATTGTAATCAGTCCTCGATCGTGAAAAAATTAATTTTAATTCATTTAAAAAATTGTAAATAATCAGATGTATGGTTGAAAATTGCTATCATTATTATTAAACGAAGCGGGCTAATTTTTATCATAATTTTTGTAAATACTTTTAGTGATTGTAGTGAATAAAGGTATTATTATTATTATCATCATCATCATCATCATCATTATTTCAGTCATAAAGGTTTGATTCCACTTCTCGTTCTGAATGGAGGTTTCAAGTCTTCCTCATCACATGGCACGAATCACAAGAAGCTGTGCCCTTGTAAACAATCGCCGCTGGAACCTGCTAGGTTGGTTAAAGTTTATAAAACGATCAATGGACTTTGAAAGTTCAGGAACGGAGAAAAAATAACCCAGACGTACAAATCGTTCCCATAATCCACTCTTTACTACCTATTACTTAATAGCTATAAAAGCGAAGGCCCAACTGGAGATGCATGTTGGATTTTGTGATAGCAATCGATGGTAAGAGTTGTTTGAGGTTCCATTGACCTAAGACGGATAGCTCGAAAAGTAGCTACATGTCGTGTTTGCTCACAAAGATAAAAACATAGATTATGTTTTAAAAGAAATGATTAAAATTAAAAAAGTGAGAACCCTCCAGAAATATTTAATCGCTTACTAAATTCGTCTCTCCGATGGAAATAGAAGTGGAAATACATTCTCTAAAAGCGCAACTAAACCGGTGTAAAGTAACTTGGTACCAGTTTCCCGCGAGAGCGCGCCAAAATTATGTAGCACGTGACCTGACAACTTTTTCGCCAAACGCATGTATTGTGTCCTGCATGTCTGGTGCAGCGGCAAAAGTCTTCGGTTCTAATTTCCAGCCAAATTATTCGTAAGTATCTCTTCATGTTCATGGATTTCTAACAAGGAATGGCGTATGTAGCGACAAAGCTTTGAATTTTGAAAAGATCTTGCAATTTACGCTTGCGAGGTGGAGAAATATTGTTGCATTTTTTTGCCATACACCCGGGTTTAATTCCACGGAGGAAACGCGAATGACGATGAACGACTTAAAACTATTTTATCTAGCCTTTGAAGAAGAGAAAATCGTTATGAGAGCTTTATACCGTCGATGGCCTTGTACACCTCGAATGTTTAAGTCTGAAACGACGAATGATGAAACGAAAGCCTTCCTACAGCAGTCGGCACATGTGCAGTTCAAGGGAAATGCCAATGCAATGGGACTAACTACTAAGGAGTTTCTATATGGATGTTTTGGCGATACCTTTTATCTCAAAGAACATAGCTTTGCTTTCCATTCAGCTATGGATAGATTCTATCGAAAATCATAGCTTGATTGTGTTTGACTCGCCTCAAAAGTTGAACTTAAGTATCAATGTGTGCTTGCCTTTCGATGGTGGTCATTCACCAATTTCGATTCGTGACTCATTCGTAGTTCGTTGTCATTTTTGCGCTGACCACATGCCTGCCCCTTCTTCAAATAGTGTCGAAAAGTAACAGCTATTGTTAGTTACCACTGTTTTCTTTTTTATACGGGAAAGAAATTATTAATTTCAAGGACTACGTTATCGCATGAAATTAGGTTGAGTATCGACGATGTATTTGACGTATTCTTGCACTTCCGTTCTCTGAATTCGCATCGTAAATTTCTTAAGGCGGGTTTTAATTTCTTCAATTACTCGTCAAATCTCCGCTTGGCAAGCAGTAATATGTTTTGAATGCCCTCACTCTGCATTTTTTGCTCTATATTCCAGGAGCGTTGTACATACCTTGTATATACTGTACAGATAGGGAACTAGAAGAATGAAAGGAGGAACTGCGACAGTACCAACATCACAAAGCAAACACACAGATGGCTTGAATACCAAAAAGGTAGATTTTTAATTCCTGCTAAGTTGATTCGCATTTCTCAACTCTAATTATTCAACTGAAATATAGTTAAGCTATCTTGAAATTCATTATTAATGATAGCCTCTAAGTTCCACCGATAAATGACAATTTATGGCGTGCTGTAATAGTTAATAAACTACGTGTTTATAAATTGATTTAAGTTAAGTTCACTTTTTTATTTTGAAAGTCTATAATTGACTGTAAGGCGTTTGACACCCTTTGAAATCAAGTTAGAGAAGTAGAGCACATGAGGTTAAATTAGATATAGTGTAAAGCCTTAAAATTACTGTTAGCAAGTGTAAACAAAAAATATTGGTTCATGAAGTGATATTATTCTCACGAAGTTTCTAAATTAGTGAATTCCACTTTTGACTTTCAAAAATCAAAAAGAGCCATTTTATTGGCACTGAGCTGTCCATTGCCTTTCTTGTAGAGTTGAGAAATTTACTTTAGTGAGAATCATATCACATAGATATGAGTTACATTAACTATTCAAGGAGAAGACTTGATCTAAAAATATTTCATGTTGGGAACTGAAAGTCATAGAGACTGTAGGGTTCAAATTGAAATTTCTCTGTAATTATTCATGGCATGTGTGCTACAAACTTTGGTCACACCATTGCTTCAGATTGATTTCATTAGAACATCCTGGATTTCTCTTCCTAAACATTAAGACCTCTATTGTTTGGTCCTGGGATATTAGGAGTAGAGCTCTTCCATCTCACCATCTACGAGGATGATGTGATAGTTTTTTAGATAAGGGGGGTCTTCTCTTGTGTGCTATATAGCACTTTATCACCACTGTTAGATCATATTAGAAAGTTTGAGACAAGTGGGCGTGGAATGATAAGGATTAAATAGTTTCAACAGGTGCCAAATGCATACATGTCTATGCAGCACCATGACAAGTTCCAGTGTGTGTTATTGTTGTCACCAGTGTTATTGATATTTTTGGAATATACGTCTCAGATATATTTTCGTTTTAAGCCAACTGCAGAACAGATCAGATATGCCCAGCTTCTAAGCACAGAAGATTCCAGAGCGATGAGGGATAAGATCAAACAGGTATATTTCATTGTATCAGTCCATCATATTTATTCTTTCAATTATTCAATCAATCATGCAATCAATCAATCAATATCTTGAATTATTTATTCAATTGATATTATTTATCAGTAACTGTGAAAAGTTGATGCTCACCTAATGGTGTTGAATTTGATATTCTCCCTGAGTTACTGGTAATAAACTTCTGCTTGGTAACTTGGGAAATGCTAAGCAAGAAATAGTTCAGTTTGAAGACATAATGTAACAAAGCTGCTCTTACACAGCTTCTCACAGTTGCTTCTCGCATTTTGACACAAAGATTCCTATAATATTTAATACTTCTGAAAAGCAAAAACGACATTACTACCATTTGGTATGATTTGTGATGACATTCTGATCATTTGAGTTGTGGCGCTACAAAAGGAAATTTACAAAATGAAACAAAGGAAGCTAAGACAGAAATCTACAACTTGAAATCAAAGAGAAAGTAAAATATAAATGACATAGTAAAGTACAAATAATAAAAAGCTATTGTACTTGGAGAGTATATCCTTATGCATGAAATAGAGTTAAATCTTGTGTGTCTTATGTGTATGTTGACAGTGCGTTGATTTGAAAAATAGAGAACAAGGTATGAATAAAAGTGAAATGCAAGCACATTTGATCAGAAGTCTCTTCTATTTTGATCATCAAATAATCAATGAAAAATAATGAATCAGTTAAGAAACCATTCAAAACAGTTGCCATAGATAGCTAGCTTATTTGAATTAGTACATTCTGTTGTTGTTTTTTTTTTTTTATGGAAAGCTACACAGAGCAAATTCTCATGAGAACTTGCTCAGTTCATGTCTATGGAACTTATTTCAGAGTGTATCCCAACCTTGGTTTTTTTCTCCTTTAGGTGGCAGATGTGACAGGATACAATTTTGATGTTGTGAGCATTGCACTGCATGATTGTAATTTTGATACAGAAGCCACAATTAATGCTTTGTTAGAGGGGAGACAAGATCAGGTAGAATGAGCTGTTCTATGTGATTACTTATTGTTGAAGACAGGGTACAGCTTGATATATATTTAAGGTAGCTTAATATTTATGGCTAGCATTGTGGACTACAGGAGTGTTTTTTGTTTTTTCCAAGTATGCTTAATATTTATCATCGTTTGATTGCTAACCTGGAAATAGTTTAAATC